CAAAATACATATTTTGCAATTTCTATATTTAAGAAACGTGGTTGTTCGTATGACTTTTGTAGTTTGAGTCGTTTTAATTCTGCTTAAAAGATACAAGTAAGTTCTGGATGTTGAAGAATAAACACATGAAGATAATTCACATTTTATTAAAGTTGTAGCACTTACAACATTTTTTTTCTTGAGTTAGTTCACGCAAATTCATTGATTAAATCATTAATTTCTACATCTGGATAAGCTAATTTATATTCCTCATTGTACTTTCTTTTATTGAATATTGTCTGTACACGATGTTTCATTGTACGAGGAATGCAAAATTAATTGTAATATTTTTAATTATTTATTTGTATTTGATTATTTACTTTCATCAATAAATACAATTTTAAGTTAAGGGGCCCCTTAAAAAGACAGAGCCCGGGGCTATAACCCCCTTAGTCCCTCCTTAAACCGGCCCTGGGTGCGCGCTTCGATCTCGCTTTGAGATCTCAATTTCATTCACATACGAGAAGAACTTAAGCGTCTAAATAACTAAAGTAAACTTTACCAAATCTTGATATATATTTCTTTAAATAGTAGATACTATAAGTAAACATTTACTTACAAAAAATATATTTACTCAATAAAACATTTTTTGATAATTAAATCAAATTAATGATTCTTCTATACTAAATCGACAAATGTTTACGTTTGAATATTTATTTACACAACTATTTAAATAGATATTTATTAAAATTTAGTATCTTTTTATTTCGCGATAATCCAACAAGAGATATATCTACCTACTCTCTAAATTCTTGGAATCTCACTTTAAAAAGTAAAAATTAAGTCTTAAAAGAGTGACTAAATTTTTCAGTTTCAAAACATTTCATACACTCTTCAGAGTATGAGATTCATTCTAAAAATTTGAGAGAGTATATGTTTAGACACTTCAACAAAATCATTTTTTAGTGGATTTTTATTCGCTTCGTTATTTTAAATCGAGATTTTTTAAATTATTGCAAAATTAACTTTCGTTATTTATGGTTTCTCGTTGAAACCATCAGTGAAATTCCCAGCGGGTTATTAATTGTTAGCACAGGATGATAGAGATCAGGTGTCAACTTCGAGGTCCTCGTACGCAGCGTGTAACGCGCGCGCTGAAAATCTTTGCGTAACGCCGACGCATCTCGCATCTCGCCGTCTCGCATCTGTTTATCCGGAATGATCGCACGTCTTCTTTGCATCCAGCTGTGTCGTCTGTGATACCGTCGCGTCTATCGATTGTATAATATCGCGCCTTGAAAAGGTGCCACAGAAAGGAAAAGTCACGATCTAACGTGACCGTCGCCGCTACGGGACGATGCACTAACTCGGCTAGTTACATCTATACATGATGTTCCAGAAGTCTCTCGATCTCGCTTAACTTAATAAGCTTTCGCGAATTTCACAGCTTTAATTCGAGCAGTGTTACATTGATCGAAAACTTATTCAAAACGATAAAAGAAATTATAAACATACTTTGCATATCAAAAATCCAATTTCATTTAATATCGTTAAATGTATATCGTTAAAATTACTTTTTTTAAATTCATCTTTCTGTGTTAAAATAAAATAAAATTTATAATTTTATACTCCATTTTTAATTTATTTGATATGCATGTATTTTTAATTATTCTCAAATGTCGTATTACTTTGCATATAAAATTTAAAAAAATTAATTAATTATTTTTTTCTAATTATTTTGCAACACCTAGTTTTATAGGAAGGTAGGTAGATCTGCTTATAATCTTATACTTTTTTTTTCAATCTATTATTTAATACATCTTCTGAATTTTCATCGATAACAGACAAATCGGTTCGAACATATCAATCCCTAGCTTCAAAATTTGCGAAGGCAATTTGCGGGGAAATTGAATGAATAACGAAAGAGAGAGAGGGCGAGGCTAATGGAAACACTATAACGTTAAATCCTTCATCAATGATGCGAACCAAAGTGCCGACTGGTTAATTCGACGATAACGACTCCCGGGTATTAATCAGTAACTTAGCCTGTGGCGCTTCCATCGTGTATTATTAGTTGCAAACATACGTAATTATACGAGGCGGGGTGTACTTTAATACAACATAGCCACGTGCAGCCTCCGATTACATACATATGATATAACCCTATACGCGGCCTGTTGATCAAAGACGCATTAGAAAGTTCGATACAATCTACGCGCAGTGATAATATAATGGCATATTATATAATGTGTAATAATGACACGCACGCGCGCATATAATTGTCCAATGTTTAGACAAGATGGACAAAGATAAAAAAACAATGCATCACTGCGTGGAGAGAAAGTTAATAGTTTCAATGACAGGTTCAGTAGAAACGATAATAGTAATTTGATTTTTAATAACGTGTAAAACAAATTTGTAATTTTTTTTTTTCATAAAATTATGCTTTAAGAATGTTAATTAAAAGGTATCGCTTTATTGCGAAAATTACATATGGAAGATTGAAGACTTTCGTGTAGAAGATCGAACAAGAGTGGTGCGTCATTCACTTGTATCCTCCTACAAAGAAGATCCTTACTCTCCATAACGCACCGGTTCTGTCTCTCTCTTTCTCTCTCTTTCTCTCTCTCTCTCTCTCTTTCTGTTTCTCTCTCTGCGTTTCGATCATTAGCATAAGCTGTTTGCTTATGTAACAGGATACTTTCTTTTCAAATCTCGGCCAGCGCGCATCATTCCTTCTTCATTATTCGCTGATATAAATCGTGTCAGACAATAAAGATATTCGTGTGCCGTCGATCGAAGATAAATTCGAGCGAGAAAGCTCAGATTTTTTCAATTTTACGAGAAATCTTATTGAATTATTGATCAATTACGAAGAGCCTTATTTACCATCAATTTGACAATTTGACTGCTATTTGAATATCAACTTTAATTTCAAGCAAAACATATCTAAGATGAAGTGAAGAATTGATGACCAAAAATTTGCTACTAAAAATCGTGAAATAAAATGAAATAAAAAACCGTGAAAATACTTTTCTATATGTATACCGCGATAAATTCTACTTGTATTTGTCAAGTAGATAAAATTTTTCTGGGACTTCGAGGGGCCTCGCGACATTGATATGTGACTGAAAAGAATCATTTTTAGAATAGATTCTTCCTTGGACACGATTCTTTTCCAGTTCCGAGACTATATTTTACATCGAAAACCTGTTTACCTAAAATAAGCAAACAAGAATTAATCGTCTCTTGTAACATCTGAATTTTCCAAACATCGAAATATTACTAAATTATTTGGCTACTGCACATAGTTGCATAACATTATAGATATGTTAATAAATACTTTTTAACTGCAGGAGATAATAATACGATTATGTTACTTAAAGCAATTAAAGTAGATTCTATGGGACTGCAGGTATTCATAGTCAATTCACTCAATTCATATATTTCAAATAATCTTAAATTTATAGCTTTAAGATGTCATAAATCAATCATCTAACTATATTAGTATCTGAAGACATTAAAGATGGTGTTGAAATAAGAATTGATTGTGAATACCCGGTCTAAAATATATTTATATTAATATTATTTTATACTTACCATTTTAGAAAACGAATAATATTTTTGTACAATTCATTTTTGTTTATTACTAAAAAAATTTTTTATAAAATAATATAAATTGAATACATATTTTTATATTTCCATTTCTATAGTCAATCGGCGAAAATGCATCGTCAATTCATCAATTTACAAAAAAAAATTCCCAATAAAAATTCACAAGCCTGTAATTTTCTCTTAATTTTATTACACGCTAAATGAAATGTTTTGCTCAGCGGATTTCGATGAATCGTAACGTGATGCAACAGGAGTCACGTATATGATTGATTACCGGCTTGAATTCACAAAAAAATTAGTTAGTTGATCAAATACATTAGAGCTGCATGCACACACGCGTGTTAATATTTGCATCAGATGAGTATATTGCGTAAAAACATAGTGAAGACCCAATGGATTAAGTTTTAACGAGGACATACGAGGTAAAGGATTTACGTGTAACCTTTAACAGGGCTTATCTCTCAAAGTGCATTTGAAATTGCTCCCAGATTAATCCATGACTATTAACTTTGGAATTACGACAGCGCTTGGACCGATCGCGTGTTTCTCGACAAGCGCGAGTCTCGTATATAAGTACACATTATTACAATCATCGTTCGCATATCGAAAAACAAAATTCCGTAGAAAATTGACAATCTCATATCTTTCCTCACGCGGAACGTAAATCATCTCATGCGGCGGGCATCGAGTTCAGCGAGGAATTAGATGATATATGCTTTCCAGAAAGAGACACAATAGTTGCTTTCCATTTACTCCGATTCTCAGATAATTCTCACTTGTGACGTCATAACTCAGTTGAATGCGCGTTCCTTTTGCATTCTGAGAAGCGAGATTCAACTGAGTTTTTCCCTGCAAACTGCACAAGATCGAGACCGGGTGCTTTATATTGAGTCTCGTAGAGACTCACTTTAAAAGTGAGGTTATAAACCTGTGTTGTTATTTGTTAATTTTACCAAAGTAAGCAGGTGTATAGTGACGTCATTAATCTGAGTATTTCATACTCAGCTCACTTCGGACTCAGTTTCATTTGTGTGTAAATGGAAAGCAACTAATGTAACACATTATAAGTGAATCATTACACATCTTTGTTGTTCAACTTTGTTTAACAAGGATGTAATAGTTTACGTTGTACCGTGCTCATCTGTATCTCTTATTGGAAAGACCCAGAGTTACGATCGCGACCTGTTCAGGTGAAACCTCCCCAGCATCTGTCCCGAGCATTCCGGCCTGACATTCTCGACCGCGCGTAACATGGTCGTTGTGCCATCACCGCCCGGTCGACCGGTCATTTAAGGATTTCGACACATGAACGTGAAAATTTTGGCAACGCCGTGGACGATGATGGTAGGGCGCAATTCACATCGCAATTCTGGCTATATATAATCGTCAACTGGCGACGTATATCGAATCAGTTTAGTGAGCCATCTCAGCTCGAATCGCCCACCTGTTCTCCGAGAAGAAAGAACCTGTAGCCATGAAACTGGTGCGTGTTCTACGAAAAATCAGTAACGACGTTTGCCGACAGAATTAAACGAGTGTCGCTCTCTCGGCGAGTTTTTGGAATAATCTCTCGGTGAATCTCGCGGTGTAGTGATTTGTCGGAAACTTTCGCCTGTTCGGAACTTCGAGGATTGCGAAATGTCACACCGTCGTGTTATCAAGCGATTAAGGACATTATCATTTTCCAAAGGAATGCACAAAATGTCTTGAAAATGTATTAGAATGACAGTTATTGTTATTACGAGAGTCTTTATCTTGGTTTTGTACAAAACAATAGAGAAATATGTGTCTCATCTTGTATCTACTCTTTATTAATTTATAAACTATTTTCTTATACTTCTGTGTGAGTTTCGCGAAAAGAGGAATATATTGTAACTCTACTTTAAAAGCCATAGGAACAGACTGTCATAAGTTATAGAAATGTAAAATTTATCAAAATGTTATTTTATCCCTAATGATTATGGATTGTTCTAGACAACGCAAAAGTCTATAAGACCTTATTTACAACAGTAGTCGCATAAGCTGTGTCGCAGATCGCAAATTTGCGACAATCTGATGCATCAATGTTAAAATTGCAACTATTGTAGATGAGGTCTAAAAATTAGGATATACATATGTCATAAACATATTTTTACGAAAAGCGTCTAATGCCCAATTTCTTCACCTCTAGATAACTTTTATATTCAGAAGATATCTTCCAGAATATAATAGAGATACCTTCTGAATAAAGTTATCTCCAACTTATCTGGAAGTGAAAAAATTGGCCATAAGAAACGTCTTAAGGACTTTTTAAAGACATTGCCTTTTGTCTTGTATCCCAATTCTAGACTTTGAGTGGACTGAGATTTGACAAATCGTTTCGCTATTTTGCACGTTACTTCAGATCATCGCCTTCGCCGCCGTCGTCGCCGTCGCCCTCGCGGCTCCTCCTAATGACTACAACCAGGCGGTCATCGTGAAAGAGACCCCACTGGACAACATCGGTCTCGACGGATACCAGTATGGTTACGAGCTCTCCAATGGCCAGGCCCATCAAGAATCCGCCCAGTTGGTGAACGCCGGTCATGAAAACGAAGCTCTTGTAGTCCGCGGTAGCTTCACCTACGTCGACCCGGAGACCAACGTCAGGTACACCGTCAACTACGTCGCCGACGAGAACGGATTCCACCCCGAGGGAGCGCATCTGCCAGCCGTCTAGATTCTACCTGCCAACCTCACATCTGTGTTTTACAACGTTTCGCTTCGAATCTCGCACTCGAAGAGAACTTTAACCCTCTCGATCTCTCAATCACAGCGATCACACACATAACACGTACACATGACATACTTAGTTTTAAATAAATTGATTTTTACTTAATTCTTGCGTTGTTTAAATTATTTCACAACTCCTCCATTTTCGGCACGTTACTTTGACCATTGTTGGATAAGTAACTTCCTCAGTGAATCAAGGTTGAATCTTGAAAGCGTAATAAATTCCTCGAATCAATAAACTAACAATTTAAACAAATGATCTTTATTTGATTCAAATTAATTTACTAGAATACGCTTAACAAGATGTATTATATAAATAATCTGTATTTTTTCATAGAGTAATGAAGACATTAAAGCGTATCATAATGCTAAAATTTTATTAATTGGTTTATATCACTCATCATACACCGTTAAATAAATAAATAAATATTATACATAATGAAATAATATAAACGCGTTTTAAGTATGCAATAATGTCCAGTTACTTTTGTCTGTATTTAATTGTGTCTTATTAGACAATATACTGAAAAACAACTGAAAATAAAATAATTAAAAGTTTATAATTTTCTTAAGTTGCTAATTTATTAAATTTCTCTCATAATTTAACATATTCATAGACATTTTATTATTCTACATTTTTCAATTTGTATCGATTATAAGCTTTTGTAAAAACTAAATTATCAAATTAATTATAGTTATTCACCCTTATTATTTTTCAAATAATAAAAATCTATTAACTTAACAATATATTTAATAAAATAGTTTTGTATTAAGAAACGCTTTAATATAAATAATTATGTTTTTATTATTATATAAAAATCTTATAATTATAATAAATCAAAAAATATATTATTATTTTCCATATAATATAATAATATTATAATAATTCTTTTAATTTATTTTCTTAAACAGCACTTTTTAATAAATCACTATTAAATCGATTAAGGGATTCAGAACTTCAAGAACTTATCGTCACCAATATATCCATTAGGATGATACATGTTTCGCAATAAAATGTAGAACGAAAGAATTCGAATAAATTAAGCCAGTAGTTTCTCTTGATTGTATTGAAGGTTTAAAATGTGTCATTTTTATGTTGCTATAATTTTCAAGGCTTTAGCTAAGTTGTGTTCCTTGAGGACGACTAGAAATCTCATCACGAGAGCACAACGTGATGCATCTTAAGGAGATGAGTGCCGAGAATCAAATTTAAACAAGTCGCTACTTTACAGACCAAGGTCGTCTTAATTTATAGGACTGAGAGAATTTGCAAAGTTACGTCTTCGTAAAGGTTACATCAATAATTAATGATTCAAAATTCCTCAAATGAATTTTTAAAGAAAAATGGAATTCCATTCTTGCATACTCTTGAAAATTGTAAGAGAATTGTTTGACAAACTTGACGGATACTTATTTCGTCTAGACAATTATTTATTAAATGAGATTTAATTTTTTTATTATTTCATTATATATTGTTTATATATTTAAATAAATTTGTGTGATATTTACCTAATTGTCATACTAATTACATTTTATATATATATTAATATATTACACAATTCTATACAGATCGAAATAAAATCTGTTTGATCCAAAATGCACTTATTAATTAAGTAGTTAAATTTGTCAACATTTAGGTTTTTGGTAAATTATAATTAAATTTTATTATTGATAATAAAAAAATTATTGCAACAAAGTAAAACAAGTGTGATAAAATTTGCAATGTCTATATTATAGTATATATAGGAGCTCTCTGTGTGCAATTATTTTTAAATTAGTAAAGTTTCAGATAGTTTGAGTGTCGCTCGCGAAAAATTCTTACGAAGGTCGAAATCTGGACGATCGGCAGATGAGTTAGCTATCAATATACGAAGAAGAAAGGTGAGAGGTGAATTGGTCCAGACCCAGTCAAATTTTAGCAGTAGGAGGAGTAGTATAAAATCCCTGCAGATTTCGACTATCCACATCAGTCTTCTTCTTCTTCGAACGAGAGTAGCTGTACACTGCCTCCACATTCAACATGAAAACAGTGGGTATACACAAGATTCTCCCAAATTATAATTTAGAATTAGCCTTGTCTTTGGACGAACGCATAAAATTTATCGCTGATTAATTCGAAGATTGTGAGTCATAGCATCAAAATGGATACATCGGAACGCTATTACATCACACACACATTCGCACTATCAGTTATTAATAACTTCGATCGCTTTCATCGGCAATTGTGAGAATAACAAAAATTCAACCATGTAACAAGTCGATTAATTGACTCTCTTGCTGCAGATCATCGCTCTTTGCGCCCTCGTGGCCGTCGTCATCGCAGCACCCCCTCACGACCAAGCGGTCATCGTGAAAGAAACCCCACTGGACAACATCGGTGTTGATGGATACCAGTTTGGTTACGAGCTGTCCAACGGTCAGGCCCATCAAGAGTCCGCCCAGTTGGCGAACGCCGGTCATGAAAACGAAGCTCTTGTAGTCCGCGGTAGCTTCACCTACGTCGACCCGGAGACCAACGTCAGGTACACCGTCAACTACGTCGCCGACGAGAACGGATTCCACCCCGAGGGAGCGCATCTGCCAGCCGTATAAATGTATTAATTATCAACGAGATACTAAAGTCGATATGAAAAACAGCTATAGCTCTGGATAAATTTGCCTGATCATCAAGTGGGCCTGATGAGCCCGCAAAGACAATTGAAGAGTCTGTACAAACATTCTCGATCGTTTCAATCGTCCGATATAAATATCTGCATAATTGGCTTATAATGCGATAGATATTAAATTCACGATTTATTAATATACAGATGCTTCGTGGATGAATATACTGATTTACGTAACGATATCGAATGTATAACTACGAAGCTGTATTTTTTTCAATAGTCATTACCTGTATGGATGATCGAGTACGAACGATGTGATTTTAAATAAAAGTTGAATGTTATGTTATCACATCGCGGATGTATAATGTATATATCAACGTTATAATAAATCGTAAAATTAATATATTGTATTATGAGTTAACTGTTGAAATTCTAATTGGTCTTTAATAGTACCTTATCGAAAATCGACTATAAATAGCACCTCGCAACGTGGATTTGGATTGGTCGTATTTGGACTGCACAGCTATGTTTGGAAAAATTCCAGCGACATTGCGATCTCTAAGATTTCGTCACAGCGAATGCGCGCAATTCTACACTTGTATTACAAAAATTTTGTCGATCTCAAATTAATAAGAATTTTACTAAAAATACGCATAAATATTATTTCCTTCCCAGACAATTATAATTAAGAAATACAATCAGAAAACTCCGTTGCAGCTTTTCTATTCGATTCTTCTTTTTTTCAAAAACGTTTATACATATGTACATTTATACATGCATACATAATTATGTATATGCATACATTTATACATTTTTGCATTTTTTTTTTTGCATTTTTTTTTGTATACATGTATATATTGTATAGGTATATATTTGTATATTTTATTTTAAAAAATTAAAAGGCGCGAAATAAATTAAAGTAACGTCTTGCTAAATTATCCATTTACGATCAAGCTGGATATTGAATGCTTCTATTATAATTTTCGTGTGAATTTATATCCTACGATGTAGATCCCTAAATGTGCGCCGAAATTTTTTTTCCAGACTTACAACGCAAACTAATTAACTACTACAGTACTATCACGAGTTAAATTAACAATTTTTTGATGCTTATTGCATCTTGGATCTTGAACATATGTAGAATATGTTAATCAACTTACACTATTCAACAAAATTAAAGCGTCACCTGCTCCACACCTTACAAAAATAGGCAAACTTCAATATAGAATAACTTCGTCAAAAATCATTGTATCTCGAGATATTTAAAAAAGCACATTTTAAAGTTTGAAATCTGTATTTTTCAGAACAGTTTTTTAAGAAATGATCTTGCCGATATTTTGTGAAGTTACACATACAAAAGTGAAGATGCATCAAATCTTAAAATTTTATACGAAATTTATGTTGTATAACGTGAATTAAAAATTGTGCACAAGTGCAATTTACAGCTTTTGAAAGACTGAATTTTTACCTTCACGGAGAAAATTTTACACATTAAGTTTTAATACAATTTTAAATTATAATACATTTTACCATGTCTTGTATTTTCGAATGGAATCTCACAACAATATTCCGATATATACTATATATTAAATAAAATTATTATTTTAAATTCTACTGACTGCTGACCGATATGACGTATATTTAAAAACAGTACTATCACGAGTTAAATTGCATTAATATATTACCATGAAAAGTAACTGATTATTAATTAAAGTTGCCAGTACAAAGTGAACATACGTAAAGTGTATGTAACTTTCGGCCGATTTTCAAATCGCCTCCGCTTTCCGCTGCATCTCTCATCTCATATTAAATACATATATATAT